GTTTCATGTAGGAGAAATACACATTTTTTTCAGTCAGTATTTAATACAGCTGGCAAAATAAATTATTAAAATATGCATTATGTGCTTCTGTTTTTTTAATTCAGGAGATTATAAAAAATCCTTCATTTTATGGGAAGTTGCTCTTGATTCAAGAGAAAACTCCAGTTTTTAAAAAAATGGCTGCTTATTAATTAATTGTTAATCAATCTACAAGATAAATCGACTTCAGATTAATTCATTATCAATAACTGGCATCCTTAAGGAGTTAACTTAAATTATATCTACTCATATTCATGTAATTAAAGGTTTTAATGATTTGGCCGATTAATCGAATAAATAATCAACCGATTAATCGATTATTAAAATAATCGTTAGTTGCAGCCCTAATTTGTTTTATAATAAGTGACGTGAARTCAAACAATCATTGATGAACTCAGTCTGAGTAAACTACACTGTAACCCCTCCTCCTCCTCAGCTGGCTGACCTGAACCGCCGCCTGCCAGCCGAAGCTGGTCTTCCCCCACCAAAACCTGGCCCCCTGCGGACACGGGAGGTCCCCCCTCCACCACGACCCTCCCCACACACAATTACCCTGCAGACCCCGGCCTTCAGGAACCTGAGGCTCCCCAAGAGGCTGCGAGTGGTTTACTTCCTGGCTCGTACACGTTTGGCTCAGCGCATCATCATGGTGAGAAGAGAGAATAGAAATTAGTTTCTGTTTTTTTTTCTCTGACTTTGTGAATTCACTGTTTAAACATTGATTAATGAGATTTTGTGAGGCATCACTTGAACCTGTATTTGAATTTGTTTAAAAAAAGTTGCATGTTGTCAACTGAAAAAAAAAATCCCTCCAATTCAGGCCGGCACGGTGATCTGGATCGGCATCCTCGTCTACACTGACCCGGCAGGGATCCGCACCTACCTGGCTGCACAGGTGTCTGAGCAGAGCTCCTTGGGAGACCCCGGAGGAGGCGGTCTGCCCCCGCACCTGGCGGTGGTGCCCGTTTTCCGTGGCGGGGATCCTACCAGCACGTTAAGTATCCACCCTGCACCTGATCCAACCCCTTTACCCGAGAACCAGTCGCAGGGCCACCACAGCTCCGCCAGAGGAGGGTCTCTTCCCCAGGCCCCGCCCGCTGTTCCTCAGATTACCTGGGGGGCTGAGGATGAAGAGGGATGGAGGAGGTTGTCTTTCCGGCACTGGCCATCACTTTTCAGCTACTACAACATCACTTTAGCAAAGAAGTGAGTGGTGCAGGAGATTTGGTTCTGATGCCTTAATTTCTTCTTATCATCTATTTCTTTCTT